TCTGTCAAGCCTATTGCTCTCTCAACCAAAAAGTTTGTTTGTCTTGTTCCATTAGTGGTGAAGGCATCTGATGTTCCTTCACAGCTTAGTACCTTTTTGACTCAGCAGACTGCAATGTTTGCTAGCGTTGAGAAATGATTGTTCGATCAACGAAGGTACTATAAAGAAATCATGAGAGCACTGAAGTTAAAGGCCCCTTTGCCACCTAAATTAAAAAAGGGGAGAAAGCAAAGGTTCGGGAGCCAAAGAAGAAGGAGCTAAAAGGAAGAGAAGTTGCTGTTGCTCATGCCAAATGAAAGAGTAAAGGGAAAAAGGTAGCTGAGGAACCTGCAGCTGAAGAAGATGAAGAGGAAGAAGATGCTGGCTCTGAAGGAAGTTTGTCTGATGCTAAGACTAAAGAAGGTTTTGATGAAGGTTTAAAGGATAATGCAACTTGAGAAGAAGAAGTCTGAGTAGACTCATTATCTCGCTACTGTTGGGTTATTTGGTTGTGTTTTGAAAAACATTGTGTGTTTGGGTTGGTGTGTTTAATAGATGCACACCTGTTGGTGGTTTGAACTTGATCTGATGATGGCTTCAGTTTATTAATATTTAATGGTATTTCAAGTTGTGTTTATTGGAGTTGTTCCTATGAACAACATCTCTTTGGGCCTGATATGTTGGCTCTATACATTGTATACTACTTTTTTGTTGTTGTTGTTGTTGTTGTTGTTGTTGTCTTGTTTATATTGCAGGTTCAATGTAATGTGTTTTCCATTATAGGCCAAAGAGGGAGATTGTAAAACTCTGAAGGTTGGCGTTAAATCGACAAACTCTAATCTGAAGTTTGGAACCATCATCACCTTCTGAAACCGTGCGGAAATATAAAATGGAAGTTTTCAATATCTTAGTTTACTTATTTGCATTTTTTTGTTTCCCTCTTACTTGGATTATTTTAATTGAAGTAAAACGAGATTCATTACAATATGAAGCAGTCATACGCGCACTTACCATAAGAAGCAGCAATGAGAGAGAATGAGGACTTACCAAGTGGAGATGGCCTGCAAAAGGGACAAGCGGCCGCATGTATGCGGGCGCGACTAAATTTGTTAGATTGAGGACGAGGAGGACTTACCATAATGCGTTGTGATAAAAAGGCTTCCACGCTCAACTGGAAGATGAATTTTTTTTCGAATATTCAATTATTTGTGAAGGGCAAAAAGGAGTGAACTATGGGTGAGCTACTCGCGTGATTTTTTTCTTTATTTAATTTGATTGAGTGGAGACGACAACCTGTTCTCGATCTCATTGTTGAGTATATTCTTATTTTATTTGAGTTTAAGTGTTGGGAGGAACACTGAAAAACAATACGAGGGATTCATGTTGATAAAATCCACAAGGGATTTGTGGTTGAGAAAGTAGTTATATAGGTAATTACATTGTAGGTTCAGAAGAGGGAGTCTTCACTGTAAATCGTAAGTGTAATGGATCAAACACTTCCATATATGATAGAGTTCCGGATGGGAAGTAGGATGCTCCCCTGAAGTTTCATATTTTGGAGAATCTTGTGTGAACTTACATATAAATTTATTGTTTTATATGCTTAGCGCAATTCTGGTATATCACCTATAAAATTCATATATGAAATACACATCCGTATCAAATTGAAGATCATCAAAAGATAATATTATATATACATATAATGAATGTTAAATAAAAAAATAGTTAATTTCATATATTACATATAAATAATTGATAAAAATTCAAAATTGCTAAATTATAAAATGTATTTATCACTTAAACTGGTCAAGTAAATATCTATATCGATTATTAATTAATTTAGCATATTATATGTGAATAATTGATTATAAATAAAAACATATTAAATTTTAAAATATTTATAACTTAAATTGATCAAGCAAAAATCTCTATCCACTATTTTCAAACACAAAAAATTTACAACAAACAACATAAACCGGCACATAAAATTATAAAATACCCAAACTTAAAATTTGGATTGAGAAACTTGCATATATATAAAGAGAAGATCATATATAAATTTAGTAATATATTGCATAAAGTGGCCGAATTTATTTTTGGTATCTGATGATTGTTTCTCTAGGAATAAATCAATCACTATATAATATTAAGTAGACGAATTTATTTTTGGTATCTGATGGCCGTTTCTATGTAACATAAATTAATCAATATGCGGTATAAAGTGGACAAATTTGTATAGGTTATCTGATGACTGTTTTTT